CATGTAGGAGTTTGTATCCTAATCGCAAGAGGGAGCTAACTCTACCTCTATATATATCTTGTAATGTTCGGTTGAAATAACAAACAGAGAAAGAAAATCTTTCCCTTCAAACTCAAGTTTCTCAGTTTCTCATGGTATCAAAGCGCGGTTCGTTCGATTTTCGCACCGCCTTCTGAACTTGCTCGTTCGATCTTCTCTAACCTCTGTTCGTGGAGCGGATCGCTGAAGAGTTTGTAGAACTCTACCTTCTTTCGATCGTCAAAACTGGAGGCTGCGATATTTGTTTTTTTGTTCGATCATTGCTCGTGAAGTGGATCTCTGAGGATTCTGCAGGGTTCTCTTTTCAACAGTCAGTCAAAGCCGGTAGTTGTTCTTCACTAAAATCAAGAAGGAAACATCTTGCTTTGGCCGATCGATCATGGCGGATGGAAGAGAGAAGTAGAATGAAGGTGAGGGCGGAAGCAGAAAGGTAGTCTCGCTGTACTACCTGGCGGCCAACGATAATCCAAGTAATATAATTACCCAAGTCCAATTGAAAGGAGAGAACTACGAGGAATGGGCTTGAGCAATGCGAATGGCGCTCCGAGCCAAGAAGAAAATCGAATTTCTCGATGGAACTATATCTCAACCCGCGGACGATTCACCGGAGTTGGAAGACTAGTGGACTGTAAACTCGATGTTGGTTTCATGGATCCTCAACACGATAGAACCAAGCCTACGCTCTACAGTCACATACATGGAGGCTGTGAAGGACCTGCGGGACGACATCAAAGAACGGTTTCCAATGGGCAATGGGCCAAGAATTCAGCAACTCAAGGCAGATCTTGCGACCAGCAAACAAGCCGGTCTCCCAATCGTGGCATATAATGGCAAACTGAAGCAAATCTGGGAAGAACTTGCTAATTACGAGCAAATTCCGACATGCGTCTATGCAGGCTGCAACTGCAACATCGCTCCAAAACTGGAGAAGAGACGAGAAGAAGAAAGAGTTCATCAGTTTCTAATGGGCTTAGATGACTCAGTATATGGAACAGTGTGTTCCAATATTCTAGGCACCGATCCGCTGCCAAACTTGAACAAAGCCTATGCCATGGTGATACAAGAGGAGCGGCTGAAAACCATGACCCCTAGCAAAGAAGAGAGAAAAGAAGCGATGAGCTTTGCTGTGCAACCACAAAGTGGCACAAAAAGAACGGGACACGATACAAAAGAGAAATCTGGAGTGTGCACCAACTGCGAACGAACAGGACATGAGGCCGAGAGTTGCTTCCAACTTATCGTCTACCCGGACTGGTGGGGAGACCGGCCGAGATCTACTGGGAATGGGAAAGCTCGAGGCTGGGGAACATAAGATAAACCTGGTCGTGGATGTGGAGGCGAATAGAGAGCGAATGCTGCACAAGCGGTAGGGCAAACTTCTGAACCGACCCACGTGACAGAGGGAGTTCGCACTGCACTCGGTGGATTGACTAATGAAGTGTGGTCCACTTTCCTTAATCTGTTGAATTCTTGCAAACACAGCACAACCGAGAAGTTGACAGGTATGAATTGGATAATTGATACCGGAGTTTCACACCATATGACAGGAAACCTGAACCTCTTGCGTAATACTGAGACCGTGACCGGTTGTCAGGTTGGATTGCCCGATGGAAAGCATGTCATGGCAATAAAGAAAGAGATCGTCATTTTGAATGAGCACATGAAGCTTATAGATGTGCTTTATGTTCCTCGTTTAAATTGTAACCTGATATCTGTGTCGCAATTATTAGAAGAGTCAAATTGTAATATCCAATTCACTAATAAATTTTGTGTTATACAGGACTGCACTTCGAGGATGGTGATTGGTGCGGGTGAACTACGCGGAGGGCTCTACTGCTTCAAAGGTGCGCGCTCAAGCAAAGTTCACAAAGCAAAGGTTGAAGCTTCATATGAGCTATGGCACAAGAGAATGGGTCATCCCTCTGAGAAAGTAATTAAACTTCTTCCTGATTTGAACATTAGATGTGATAGTAGAAATAGGATATGTGGTGTTTGTTCAAAAGCCAAACAGACAAGAGGTGCGTTTGATTCTAGTGAAAACAATGCTAAAGGGACTTTCGATTTGATTCATTGTGATTTATGGGGTCCGTA